AAAAAAAGCTGAAAGAAGTAAGAAGTTTTAAAAAGGGAACTTAAAAGAATAGTAGTGTGAGAAATTCGTGATCAATAAATTAAAAGTCTGAATGAAATAGCAGAGAACCAGCAGATTCTCTTCCAGAAGGCTTTTGTCTCATCTGACTCCAATCAGACCCACAGCAGGACTTTAGAGAAAACCCCTCTCTCAGGAATGTAGACGTGTCCAACTGACACTACACCAGCCAACAGTTTTACGACAGACCCCATATTTGAGGAGGGGCTTCATCTAAAAGGGGGGTGTCTGGACATACAAAAATACTTATAACTCAAAAACTGTTCAACATAGGAGCTTCAGATTTTGTTGTTGTTGTTTAGCTCTGATGAAGTGCTATCCATCTGGCCCACCAATGAGTGCCCCCCCCAACCTGCTCCGGACCCCCATCCAAATTAATATATCCATTCTGATGACTTCTGAGTTCTGGTGCATTGGTGCTTTACGTATGTGCTGGGGTCATACAGTATATGCTACCGCTAAGCGGTATAAAGTTTTCTGTTAGAACTGGCCTTACCTGGAAGGTGACACAGCCTACAGGGAGATACTTGCGGTCTTCAAGCATGCTCAGGTATTCTGCTACCAGGGCAGCGCTGTGCACTAAACACTGAGCAGCCTCAGCATGATTATTCCTCTCCGAGTGTTTTCCAGCCATGTTCTGGAGCCATGTAAGACGCAGATCTGGAGATGTCTGGTATCCCTTCGCAATCCTGAAGGTTAACAAGACAGAAGCACAACCGTCTGGAACACGCAGAGGATAATAAAAGCACCACTGTTAACAATTAGCAGGGGTTAGCTGTGGTCTGTACCTGTACATGAGATCTACCAGCATCTCAGGATCTTCCTGATGCTCTTTCATTTTCACTGTGTCAGACAGGATCATGTGCAGATTAAACACAAGGTCCTGGACCTGGAGGAGAAAACAAAGTGCTCAGGTTGCATTCCTGCTCACGGAATAAATGAAAGTTGGAGCTACAATGCATCAAGTTAACATTAATATAGTAAATAAAGTGATCGATTGTTCTGCTTGTTACAGGAGTTGGACAAATAAACTCGTACCTGGTCTGGGAAAGTGGTCTCCCTTAGTTCGAGGTCCTCCTCTGCATAGGTAAGGATGGTCTTCAGAGACCGCCGGAGGAACTCCTCATTAAAATTTTGGGACGTTCCCACCAGCGAGGACAGAGACATGGTCACCTGCATCTTCACTCTTGCAAAGTTCTATTAAAAAAAACATTTTAAAAAGGACGTTACCTTCCAGCTGGAGAATAATTTTAAAGTGAGAAAATCTGACCCTGACTTGAAGAACACGAGTCAGATGTTTACACACTCCAAGAGAGTCTCCCAGCTGTACTTACATTGCCGATCTCAAAGTTTTGCCTCATGAGGAGGTAGAGGGAGGCACTGGCGTGGGATCTGATGGTACTGATGCTGCTGCTGCAGCTCCTCAGGAGTCGCAGACACAGATCGGCACACTGCTCTGTTTCTTCCTCAAACAGCAGTTCAGGAAACTGCACGAGTACAATTAGGACGAACCTAATTACAAAGATGTAATCCTGGGAGAAATTGTAAAAGTTCGGCGAAATAAAAGACTTCGAACCAACCTTGGAAACCAAAGCTCTCTGAGTGGCAAAACAGTGCTGAAGGTAGAGGGCGCTCTGRTTGCAGGCCATGCTATGGAGCAGCACTTTCAACACCCCACCAAGGATACTCTCCTTAGACTCWGTCACGGATACTGTCTGCAGTAGGAACAACAAATATTAGGCTGTTTAGGAAGTAAACATACATAAAACTGTTTGCAATAACAGCCTAATAACTAGCAATAATTGAAGCATTTGCAGCTATGCTCCAGTGTTTGATTCCATACCTGAACAATAATCTCCAATGTATCAAGAATAATTAGGTTGGCCTCTGTTGCAAGGTTACCATCAATAAGGGCTTCGTGCTCCAGCTCCGCTCTTGTTCTACAATCATGAAAAAAACAAAGAAAGAATTCACAAAATGAACTCCGAAGTTTTGATACAGATTTTGTGACCTTAGATATAAAGTCAAAATGTCTGTTATATCTCATCATACATTTCCAGTCTTTGAGTTTAGGCTTTATATGTTTGAGTTATTCATGGATCAGAGTTAAATGAGTCGACAAAAAAAAAAAAAAAAAAAAAAAAAAAAAATTAAACATGTCTGAAAAAGGTCAGTAAAAGAATAATGATTGAAAAACGAGAAAAAAAAAGTTGAAATGCGTTCAGATGGGTGGAATAAATAGCGCTTGAATCCATTTATTTTTACATTTAAAAGAACGCCTGGCTCCTTAAAAGACAAATATATTAAAAAAATAATAATCTAGTGCAGCTTTATGTTAAGGTTATTAAAGGCCAAAGCTGCACTGAAAATAATTTCTTAACCTGCATAATTCTAATGTTTTTTTCCCAATTTTTTGAAAAGTTACTCATTGCAATGTCATGAAGAAAATCTGGTCTTTTTCATTTTTTTCCCCTAATACTGGTAATGTGTCCTCAAATTAAAAACTCGTAAGCAACGTTTTGTGAACTGCTAACAACCTAAGCATTTGTTTACCTACAGGAACAGCCAAAGTGACTGAAAATAGATCAACAATGATGATGTTTGTGGAAAAGCTCAGATTTGTTTAATAAAATATGCAGGTAAAAAGTGCTTTGTTTACRYTGAGTGCATACCCACATTGAGAACTGCGTATCAGTATATCTGGAAAACTCCGGGAGTAATTGTTTTCAAATGRAATCAATTGATACAGTTCAGGGTGATTTTTTCCATTTTTAATCTTAGAGTTTGTAATGAGTAGCTTTAGGTAAAAATATGTGCTGATTCAAGCAGACAGTTGGCCTTTACGTCTAACTTCCATTTCTATAGAGCTTATAATTTTAAASAGCCTGTGACWTGCATATTCTTCAAACACAAAAAGTCAAAGAAAACATCTTTATATTTAAGAAAGTTGGATTAATACACATGATTTAACTCATTTTGTTCCATAACTGGCATATTTTCTTTTGAACTTGATTCAGCCAAAGTGAAACAGGAAGTGACATCAAAGGGGAACTTCTTAACAAAGAAAACTCTCTGGTCTTTGTTTAHTGAAACAATATTATTTGAACTCTGACCCTTCTTCATCTCACTGATAGTGACTCAAAATAATCTTTAGAAACATCAGATTCTTCTCTATAATCTGGGTTGTTGACTGTGTTCACATGCAGACATTCCCCTTTGACATCACTTCCTGTTACTTCACAGGCAAATATCTCAACAACKGTTCATCTCAGCGAMATGAAATTTCTTTTGCAATATTTTATCAATGTCCTCTTTCTAAAAATGCATTCATATGTATTACAAAAATTTGGCGTCACAGGCACTTTAAGGGCTACTTTTTCATGTCCACTATGTGGAGAATTAAAAAAGTTATTCTTGGTTTACAGGTTAAATAGTCAAAATGTTGAAAATCTACATGTGCTAAAATGTCTGTTTTTGTCATTTAGTTTGTTTTAAGCAGCAGAATCCAGAGAAACACACAAAGTCAGAATCCAAAAACAAGAAGCAAACGTGTTAAAAAGCAAAACAGACCCACAGCAACCACGACTAACCCCAGGACAGAGGATGTTATGAGGGAAAAGGAGCTGGAGGGACGGGGGGATTTTTAGGGCTCAGAACCAGGATCGGAGGTCTCTGTTGGTGCCTTTATGTGCATGTGAGAACTTAAAAAGTCAAAATGGAAATAAAAAATAAATTTGATAAATTACACTTGTGACTACTAGTGTCTAATGCTGATTCAAATAAAGTAGAGACATATTTACTGGGCAGTTCATAGTCCAGATCATCATGTACAAACCAACTCGTGTTCATTTCGTTTCCACTTTAACTGGCTGACTTCCCACATGCATGACATGACAGCTTCATATGAGGCTCTACAGAGGAGGGGAACTCAGTGGCACACGACAAACGTAGACCATACAATACCTGACCGATCTGTGACTCCTACATAAACACAGCAATATGAGAGAACAGACGCAAATTAACACAAACACAACGGCTGATGGGGGATCACAAAAGGACCCAAATTAAAATTTAAAAACAAATAAAACAGCGTGTTTTAAGAATGAGTGTTGCAAATATCTATATTTTCTTGTCAAACATTGCAAAGACACAGTCAGACATCAGGCAAATTTCCTTTTGTTCCGTTGCAAATACAGCTTAATTTTAAAACAAAATTTAATAATGACTTTGAAAAGACTTACAGTATATTTTTAGTATTTAAACTGTATACAGCACCTAAAAATGATGCATTACGTCTTGAATAAAGTGAAAATGAAAAACTTCAGGATGCGATGTTAATTATTGAGGGGGAAAAAAAAGAAATTGGATATCGCCTTTACCAGCTCAAACAGAAGCTCCTTTCAGTGCATTCAACTTCTCAGATTTGCATCATGACAGTGGATGGATACACATGATAAACATTGTTCTTCTATTTGTTTCCAGTTTAATTTTCAAATCTTTTATCACAAAGTCAGACTTGTGTGTTCCCTTCAATTCAAAAGACTCACAAAATCTAACATTTTCAGGTCTCCTAGACACATATTTTCTATATTTAGATGACACAAAAAATACGACAGAGTATTAGGGCCACATAATTAGATTTTGTTTTAATTACGAGAATAATGTTATAATATGTGGCCCATCATTTCGAAATGAGGATTAAGCCAAATTTGGTCAAAATGACTTAATTACATTTTCAGATTCTTGGCTTTAAAAGCTACATTTTGATACCTGGATCATTCTGATATCATAGTTAAATCCATATATATGACTTAATTTGTCTTGTTGGTTACAATAATAC